GCAAAGTACATGATCAGCGGTGCGGCGGAAGGTCATGTTTTTGCGCTTGCATTCGAAATTCGGGCCCTGTTCACTTGAACTACGGTAATTTTTGAGGTGATGGTGATGCAATGGACTTGAATTGACCCGGAAATTGCCTGAGGCCGGATGGTGATGGAACTATTAGTAAAAAACATATTTGGATCAAAATTATCAGTCTGGCGGGAAAATAGTGGACAAAAAGGGCTGATTAGGCATGGCTCCTTTCAGGGTCTTTCCAAAATTTTCCGGCCTGGCCCCGGGCCTTGATTTTCAGGCCCGGCCCGGCCCGGTTTTAAAGAAAATTCGGATTTTCCGAGAATTCTTTTAAAAGAATGGCAAAATTCCATAAAAAAATGCTTGAAAATATTGCAAAATTACATCAAGAATACAAAAAAATGTGTCTGTTCTACCCCAGATGGATGGAATGGCAAAAGTTTCTTGGCATCCAGAAAAACCCTATATATATGTCTTTCACAGAATAAAAATTTCCAAACTCAATAAATTATAGAAAAACTTTTAGCCCGGTCAACCGGGCCGGGTTTTCAAAATCTTGCAGGCCCGGACAGGGCTTGGAAATTTAATTAATCCGGCCGGCCCGGATTCCTGCCCTTCTTATGCCCTTCTTGAGATCGGTCGCTGAAACGAAAATCAGTTAGATTTGCCGCGATCATTCATTTTCTCGACGGCGATCCGACTTTTGATGCAACAGACTGCTCATTATTTTCCCGACAGACCGACACACTAAGCTTCAACGTTACTATTTTTCAAAAATCAGAGAAAAAACAGCTTTTTGACCAGACAGAAGAACAAATCCTGAAAAGTTTTAGCTGAGCCTTTCCAGGCGCCGTTGAAGAGTTGAACGATCGTTGTGACCGAGAGAATAGGCGAAATGCGGAGAGAACAGAGAAAAAAACTTTTTGGACATATCTTTGTCCGTTTTCCTCGGAAGAAATTGATTTTTTGAAGGAACATTGCGCAGGCTAAAAATCTGCCATTTTTTATAAAAAAGATTCCTCTAAATTTGTGTCAAGTTTCATCAAAATTTGACCGTCGCATTTGGAGGACTTCCACTGTGAAATCAGTCCACAAAGTGATGTTTTTGCGACCCTACCGTAACCTAAATCTTGATGTTTTGTTATTCTTCGGGTTTGTTTTGCCTATAAAAATTTATATCCGGTAATTTCGGTTGTTTTGCGTACATCTCCAAAGGCCGAACTACATGCCACTTTTCGTCGCATTTTTTCATCAAAATATTTTTTGGTGGTACGGTAGCCGCGGACATGTTTCAGCGGCCCGCTGTAAAAAAACAGCTCTTCGGTTTTGTGCAAAGCACGGAGCAAAGAGCAGCTTTCTCGCAGCTCGTTTCCAAATTTACACACTGTTTATGCTGAGTGTTTTGCAACTCTTCCTTCCTCTTCAGCGGTTGTCCGATATTCGCGGTACAAAGAGAGAAGGGGCTCGGAGGTTAGGGAGCTGCTCGTTTGACGTTGTACTTTGCTTCGGCATTTCGAAAGAGGGAAAAAGTCGTGATTTGAGTGCAAAATTTGCAAGCGAAATTTAGTCTAACTTACCAACTTCAGTACAGCCAAAGTGGAAATTAGCTTGTTATATTATACAAGGGTTTTGATGTGTAATAATTGGGCAAAAAATAATTGTTGAGACCAGAGATTGCCACGGCTCCGGAGTCGGCTCTTGGCTCCGGCTCTGAGCGGCTCCGGCTCCCGAGCCCAAAGTCGGAGTCAGGCTTCCCAGCGGTCAGAAAAGTAAAAATTTCGTGATCTTGTTAAACCAAATTGCTTGAAAAACACTGCGGAGGATGTGACTTGACTGCAGAAACGTTGGCTGTATGATCTCTGGCACTAATAACGTTTATTTTTGGAAAAATATTTTTAAAAGACATTTTGCATAGGAGCCGGGATTCGGAGCCGGAGGCCTTTTTAAATTTTGCACGGAGCCGGAGCTGGAGCTGCAAAGTTGGCCTCGGCCCCGGCTCTGGGAGCTAAGAGCCGGAGCCGGAGCCGAAATTTTGACCGTGGCAATCTCTGGTTGAGACTTCAAAAATTGCCGGTTATACCGGCCCATTCACAAAGTTGCTGGAGTGATCTCGGCGACATGTACATCGAAAGTAAAAGCTTTCTTTGTACTGTCGAATAGGCTTTCTAGGGCTGCCGCTAACAGCCTGAATTTTCTGCATGTCGCAAAAATCACTGCAGCGGTTTTGAGAACGGCCTAGTATAACCAGCAATTTTTAAAGTCTCAACAATTCTTTTTGACTAAATAATTACACTAAAACCCTTCTATGACAAGCTAATTTCCACTTTCGCTGCACATTTGGTAAGCTGGACTAGATTTCACTTCCAAATTTTTCACTTAACGCACAACTTCTTTGTGCAGACCACAAGAAATGCCGTTTGCACCGAACAACGCCTTGAGCTGCGATATTTCTGATGCACGCTGAAAAACCAAAAAAAAAAGCTGACAGGAGAAGTACTCCAAGTGCGACGCTCGGATTTTTTAAAAAATTTGCACACACAGTCGAGTATGGACTAAACATCAATTCCTGAAAGTTTTAGCTCGCGCTTTGCGGGCGCCACCGAGATATTGAACGATTCTTGAAGCCGAGAGAGCACGCTAAACATGGAGAGCGGTCAGAGAGAAAACCGCTTTTTGGCTATAACTTTGGCAGTTTCGCGCGGAAAAATTTGATTTTTTGTAGAAACATTATCCTTTACGGTAGAAATAGGCATGAAACTTTTCGCGCCAAAATTCGGCAAAAAGTCGTAAATTTTCGCCGACTCTCGATCTAAAAATCTCGGTTGTTTCTGCAAAGCGTGAGCTAGGATTCTCGCATATATCTTAGAAAAAAATATTCTAAATTTGTGCCAAGTTTCATCCGAATCTGAGCGTCGCACTTGGAGTACTTCCCCTGTGAAATGCACGGTGCAAAGTGGGGTTCTTTAGGCACAGTGCGAATCACAACAAAAATGTTCATTTACATGTATTTATTATAATATCAGTCCGACTGTAAAATAATGTGGATTTGTCGCGCCTTGGAATCGCTAATCATCGCCTTCCCGACGAGGCGCGGCGAGAAATATTTCTGCGACAGATCCACATTATTTTCCCGACAGATTAATATTAGTATTTTCATAATTTACATAGTAATTTACACATTTTTCTCGCTTTGCACACAGCATTTTGAACTTTTTCCCACGCGTATCGCCAACACACAGTGCATTTTTTCTCATTTTGCACAGTGCAACAAACTTAAAAAAAAGCCGGTTGCACTGTGCGAAAAATGGATCTTGCTCAAATTTTTTTGAGTTTTCGCATTTTTACATGCCAGAGATCGCTTTCTATTACTTGATTTGTTAATATCACAACATATCCCATTGATCTCAAAGATCATCTCAAACTTGTTCGAACGGGATATTAGGTAATATATTGCAAAAACGACCGAAAAAACAACTCCGCAGACGATCGCGAGCTGCCCATTGGATTGTGTAATCACCGGATCTCCGACGACATCAACCACACGTCGTGACAGGAATAGATTCGCTTTTTCTTAACGTGAAGTTGAGCGGGAACAAATTATTTGTTGTGGAATATTCATACAGTTTCGGGAATTTAAATATTTAGGTCAAAAATTGTCTCTTGGGACCTCTGAACTGCTTCATTATAGACAAACTTTGTTCTTTTAGCATTTTCACAAAGTTCATGGACATTTGCCCTCTTTCGCACAGTGCATTTTGAACTTTTTCCCATGCTTGTCGCCAATGAACAGTGCAAACCTCAAACAAGTCGTTTGCACAGTGCATAGGCATTTTTTGCCGATCCGCACCGTGCACAAAAAAAGCACCATTTTTTGCACCGTGCATTCTCATTTTTTTGGTTTTCGCACTGTGCATCGGAATTATCGCCGCGACGTCTTCTTTCAACTGTATTGGCGCGGTTTTGTTGAAGAATTTGCACGGTGCAACAGGCTTTTTTGAGGTTTGCACCGTGCATTTTACTTTTTTTGATTTTCGCACTGTGCATTCGAAATATCGCTGCTCAAGTTTCGGATGCACAGTGCAAAAACAAAAAAAAATGCTTATGCACTGTGCAAACGGCTTATTTGAGGTTTGCACTGTGCGTTGGCGACAAGCATGGGAAAAAGTTCAAAATGCACTGTGCGAAAGAGGGCAAATGTCCATGCACTTTATGAAAATGCTAATAAAAGAACGGAATTTGTCTATAACAAAGCAGTTCAAGTGAAATGCACGGTGAAAAATGGGTTTTTTTTTGTGCACGGTGCTGACCGCAACAAAATGCCCATGCACAGTGCAAGCGGCTTTTTTGAGGTTTGCACGGTGCTCATTACTTTCCCGACAGACTGATTTTAGAAATTTTCATAAAGTGCATGGACATTTTTTGCGGCTTGCACCGTGCACAAAAAACACCCCATTTTGCACCGTGCATTTTGCCTTTTTTGGGTTTCGCACTGTGCATAGAAGAATCGCTGCGACATAATCAAGTTTCAGCTACATCGCTGCGCCGGGAATTTCCACAGTGCAAACGGCTTTTTTTGAGGTTTGCACTGTGCATCGGGAAAAAAAGAGAAAATGCACTGTGCTTTGGCGACAAGCGTGGGAAAAGGTCCAAAATGCACTGTGCAAAAGCGAAAAAATGTCCACGCACTTTATGAAGATACTAATATCACGAAATTGATTTTCACTGTCAGTTTGTTACGATCATTTTTAAGTCGATTTTTGGTCAAAACTTTGCTTTAAAGTGCCTTTTCCTTGATCACCATTTTCGTTCTTTGACCACGTCTCAAAAAACGGGCTAATTCCTTTGTTTTCGTATTCGTACTTGCATCAGATACCCCAATTTCCCTCCAGCCCCGTAGTACTTTATCGCCGCTTCTGTTTATTTGGGTTATGTGGGCAAAAAAAAAGTCGCGGCTGAAGGCCGCGCAACACAAAAGCGTCTTTCGCATGTTCGACGAGGAAAGGCGCGCGTTGCGGCGCGAACAAGTTCAGCTGTTTTATGGCGGTACCAGCCAAGGACGAAAGCGAAATTTCGAGAACACAGCACCGACCGCTTCCGCCGCTGCAGGGGTCGTTGTAAGTGGGTCGGATTTCTAGAACGTTTTTGTAGCGGGAAGTGGCAAAAAGCGAGACATGTATTTTTTTCATACGTACATAAAAACGCGACTTTTCGGGTCATAAAAATCGATCGATCCGGGGCGTAGGTGGCTACCCAAAAAAAGGTTGTAAAAGTGCCTACGACGCTCGGAAATGCCGTTGGATGCTCGGCGGACGCTCGGCGAAGGCTCGGCAGAGACTTGGCGAAGGCTCGGCAGAGACTTGGCGAAGGCTCGGCAGAGACTTGACGAAGACTTGAAGTGCTCATTTTTGAAAATTCTAGCTATAGTGAGGGACCTGATCCAATGGCAAAAACGTCCCATTTTGCATCACAGAGAGGATCAAAACGTCTCCAAACCCTTCCCTTCTCTAAGCTAAAAAACTCCTCTTTGAAAAGCGCGCCCTTTCCTTCAAGGGTTTGGAGACGTTTTGGTCCCTTCCGGGATGCAAAATGGGACGTTTTTTGCCACTGGATCCGATCCCTCGCTGTATTACTAACGTTAGTTTTCTTCACCCTGAGTTACTGTAATATATAAAGGACTAAAATTTGAAGCGAAAAAAGAAGATTCGTAACTTTTATCTAGGTATTATTGATGTGAGTGCATGTAAAATACCTAAAAATAAGTGATAAGCTATTCTAGCACCCAATAAATCTTATTATTTCTACCAACTAGGCCTTCTCCTAGCCTCTTTCCTATGCATACAACGACAAACATATCGTTGACCCGAACAGCCGCTGACCCGAAAAAAAATGAGACATGTATAAAAAACTGGATCAATTCCTTTCGCTTTTGGCTTGTGATTTTAAACCTTGAACATGCTGTAACAAAGCCGTTTTTGGCGAGAACACTTATTGTCTTAAAAATTCTTCGGCTACAAAACAAATGATTGATCCTGATGACTCCGGGGTTCAAATCGATCACTGGACGACCAAGAGAGAAAGTTTGTATTTTGGAGGGGAACGTAGATGAACGAAGCGAGCTAAAAATGTCGCAGCGATCTTAAAAGAAAGTATAGTGGCGGACCTGATCTAGTGGCAAAAAACGTACCATTTTGCTTCCGGGGAGTGTCAAAAAGTGAGGCAAAATACCTCCTTCTCCAAGTGAAAAAACTCCGATTTCAAAAGCCCGCCCGCTCTTTTTGTGAGGGAAATTCAAAACAGAGTATTTTTTTTTTTTGAGTTGGAGGAGTGGGAGGCATTTTGCCACATTTTTTGATGCTTTTCGGATGCAAAATGGTACTTTTTTGCCACTGGATCAGGTCCGTCACTGTACAGAATTTCTCAAAATTCTGCGTGGCGGCTCTGGATTAGTCAAATATAAATCCATTAGAGCTTGTAACGTTCAGAAAAGTTGAAGTTCTTCGAGAAATTTATATAAAAATTTGTGGCTCTTTTTTGCGAACTTTGGCATGAAAAGTTTCATGGTAATTTCTACTATACAGAGTGATGTTTCCACAAAAAAAATCGAGTTTTTCCGCAGAAGACTGGCACGGACATCGCCATGTGCTCTCCGCATTTTGCGTGCTCTCTCAAAATTTGTTGAATATCTCAGCTGTCTCCGCATAGCGCAAGCTAAAATTTGCGGGGATTGACGTGTGGCTACTTTTCCGCAAATTTTTGTAGAAAATCTGACCGTCGGATTTCGAACGGTTCCCAAAACATACCAGTCTGTCGGGAAAACATGTGTGTTTGTCAGGATACGTCGCCTCGTTTTGCATCAAAGCTTCAGCCGCTGTCGCAAGGCGATGATAGGCGATTCTGAAGCATGACGAGTCCACATTATTTTCCCGACAGAGTGTTTTTCTCTGTGTTCTCCGAATTTTGCCTGCTTTCTCGGGCCAGAACGATCGTTCAACTACTCAATAGCGCCTGCAAAGCCTGAGCTAAGACTTCTTAGGAATTGTTCTTCTGTCTGACCACTCTCCGGGTTTTGGGCCCTCTCTCTCTTTCACAGCAGCTTCGACGGGTTCAATTTCCCGGCTTCACTTATAATTTTGTGGTTGTAACTTTGCGTCCGTTATTTATGACTCAAAGCGTATTAGCTCACGTTTCGACAGGCTTTGAAGGAAACAGCTACCTTCGCAGGACATCCAATCAGTCGGAGCAGGTGTAAACAAGGATAATACACATACGCTCAGCGGCTTATCGACGTCTTAAGGCGCACTTTTCGGGCTTGAAGGGCGATTATGATAAATTGTTTGAAAGCTTAGAGGTCCATTTGCGCACATCTCCGACATACAACAAAATTGGACATACGGGAATCGTGGGCCAGAAAAACTGTTAAGAGGAGTTTTAAATGGGCGAAATTTGGGAAATTTGAAAGCAAAGTAGATACTAGAGGCATATAGGTCTTATATATATATATATATATTCCCATTTGTTCCAAAAGATCGCCTAAGGGCCTAAGACAAAATTGGACAGCTCCGAAAATCCAAAGTCGGTCATTTTTCAGCGTTGATTACAAATTCAGTTCCGCATAAGAGTTGTTAAAATTAACATGGCTGGAAACACCGCTTTTTGCTCTGTAAACACTGAAAATTTCATGTGTCAATCTTGTAGCATGCGCTCGCTAGACCGGTTTAAATTTGGACCACAAAAAAATCGAAAAAATCGGTGTCCGATTCATTTCAAAAAAGTGCAGAAGGTTGTGCGACGAGATCGGCAAAGTGACATTGTGCTCATTATCTTCCCGAAAGAGTGATTCATATTAGCTGCAAAATGACTAGTTTTTGAAAAAAAAGTAAAGCGATTTTTTTTGAAAAAAAAGTTTCCAAGCCGACCAAAAAATCGACCGAAAAATTTTTTTTCGAGCGACGTTGTGTTCATTATTTTCCCGACAGACTGATGCATATTAGCTGTGAAATGACTAGTTTTTGAAAAAAAATTAAAACGATTTTTTTTTGAAAAAAAAATTTCCAAGCCGACCAAAAAATCGACCGAAAAATTTTTTTGTGCAGCATTATGCTCATTATTTTCTCGACAGAGTGATTTATATTAGCTATGAAATTACCAGTTTTGAAAAAAAAATTTCCAAGCCGACCAAAAAATATTTTTTTTTGAGTGATGTTGTGTTCATTATTTTCTTGACAGAGTGATTCATATTAGCTATAAAATTACCAGTTTTGAAAAAAAAATTTCCAAGCCGACCAAAAAATATTTTTTTTTGAGTGATGTTGTGTTCATTATTTTCTTGACAGAGTGATTCATATTAGCTATAAAATTACCAGTTTTGAAAAAAAAATTTCCAAGCCGACCAAAAAATATTTTTTTTTGAGTGATGTTGTGTTCATTATTTTCTTGACAGAGTGATTCATATTAGCTATAAAATTACCAGTTTTGAAAAAAAAATTTTTCCAAGCCGACCAAAAAATCGACCAAAAAATCTTTTTGTGCAGCATTATGCTCATTATTTTCCCGACAGAGTGATACATATTACCTGTAAAATTACCAGTTTTGAAAAGAAAAACGATTTCTTTTCTGAAAAAAAAATTTTCCACGCCGACCAAAAAATCGACCGAAAATTATTTTTTTGTGCAGCCTTTATTGTGCTCATTATTTTCCCGACAGACTGATCGTCCATACTCCAATTTATGAAGCCCACAATTTTCAACTTTCAAGTTTCAGCGCCGCCACTTTCGTTTAGGGAGCGGCCGCAAACAACGGGCCCGAAACATGGCCCGTTGGGAGGCGCTGTCGGTGGCGATTATGCAAAACCAGAAATGATTACACAACAAGTGCCAGGAACCACCGATCCTTATGCATTCGAGGGGCTGGTTCGACGTCACCGCGGTGGTTGTTTCTCGCGATCGCACGCCAACTTGAAGGTTATCAGACGAGACGTATTTTTCTTTTATTTTTTTATTTTTTTTTTTTTTTGTAATTCGCACGTGCCAATCGCCGAGATTTTTTGTTTTCGTTTTTGTGTTGCATTTGTGGGGAGATTGACAGTGTAAGAGAGGGGGGAAATGACGTCATTAAGGGGTGGATTTGATCAGAAAAAAATTTTTTTTTTGCTATAAACGCGATATATTTACGGGTTAAAAATCTTGGGAAAAAGTTCCTTATTTTGGCCACAACAGAGGAACTCCGCGAACTGCGCCCAAGCTTGGGCACTAAAGTTAGGAAAAAACGCTTCGACCTAGCTGGAACTGAATTACTATAATAGCTCTATAGTCTTAAGGGTACCTACGAAGGCTGTGACGACCCATTTAGTTCCATACGGAGGCAATAAGTTTAGTTCCGGACATGTTTCATCGTATAAAGTGTAAAATCACAGGCTGCAGCCGTTTTTGAAGGGTAAGGTGGTACGTAAAAAAGAAGGTACCGCACTAACTAAATCCACTGTCCGGGCATTGACAACGATGAATTGAGCGTGCACGCAAAATTTGGGCTAATTCCGACCAGTTTCCGCAAAGTTGTAAGTTGTGGCCAAAATAAGGAACTTTTACCAAATCTTGATAAAGAATGGCGAAAGAGCAAAAAATTGTTTGTTATAGAGAGATTTTGTTTTACGGAGGTGAAAATATCACCATTTCACACTGTAAAATCCGTAATTGCACCCGCGTTACAACTCGTTACAAGTCCATTTTAAAATTTATATTTCTTTCCTTAATTGTTACGATTGTCGCCACAGAATCACGCTATATCCTAGACATGCCCAAAAAAGATGTACGTTAATTTCCTTCTATTACTACGCCAAAAGTTGCAACTATTTTTTCGATTCTGTTACTTTTTCACTCTCTACATTCCGTGCCATCAAATTAAAAGTCTTTTTTAAAACTGTTTTTTGTTATTATTACATAAGGCAAGGCTGACATTTTGATTCGAACCAAGCGTATGCACAAGCGCTTTTTTTATATCCTCCAGCAAAATAGAGTTGCTGGAGTAAGTTTTGTAGGAAGTGGATTATTGAGTCCGGTTTAATATAGCCGCCATGTTTCCAGATAGCGGAAATCCGCGGATTAATTGTAACCTCTGGCCAAACAATCCGGATATTGCATGCATTCCGAAAACGTTTCTCCGCTGGACACTCGGTTCTTCCGTTTTGCCAGATCGGAGAAGACCAATGAATACCCACGGCTAAAGCTGTTTTCTCCGTATTCTAATTACTGTGCCGGATCTGTGCGACGCGCAGATTTTCTTTAAATTTTGCACACAATTATGGCCGGGTATGGGCTAGATATCAATTGCTGAAAGTTTTAGCCGGCGCTTTGCGGGCGCCGCCGAAATATCGAACGATTTTTGCAG